AACACTACCCTAACGACGTTGAATCTTAATTCGAATAATCTTGGATCAAAAGGAGGAAAAGCATTAGCTGATGCTCTTTGCAAGAACACTACCTTGACGACGTTGAATATTTACGATAATAATCTTAGATCAGAAGGAGGAAAAGCACTAGCTGATGCTCTTTGCAAGAACACTACCTTAACAGAGTTGTATCTGCAATCGAATAATCTTGAATTAGACGTCGGAAAAGCATTAAATGATGCACTTTGCAAGAACACTACCTTAACGACATTGAATCTTTACAATAATAATCTTGGATCAAAAGGAGGAAAAGCATTAGCTGATGCTCTTTGCAAGAACACTACCTTAACGACGTTGAATCTTTACGATAATAAACTTGGATCAGAAGGAGGAAAAGCATTAGCTGATGCTCTTTGCAAGAACACTACCTTAACGATGCTGTATCTTCAATATAATGATCTTGGATCAGAAGGAGGAAAAGCATTATCTAATGCTCTTTGTAAGAACGCTACCTTAACGGCGTTGGGTCTTGGTGAGAATAATCTTGGATCAGAAGGTGGAAAAGCGTTAGCTGATGCTCTTTGCAAGAACACTACCTTAACGACGTTATATCTTCAATTGAATGATTTTGGATCAGACATCGGTAAAGCATTGGCTGATGCTCTTTGCAAGAACACTACTTTAACTTCGCTATATATCGGTTGGAACAAAATTGGTTTTAAAATAAAATCTAATAATCCAAATATTAAAATATATCAGTAAATGTACTAAAAATTTACTAAAAATGTACTAAAAATGTAAACGTAAATATACCAGTAAATGTACTAAAAATGCAAATTAATGTAAATATTATAAAATTGCAATAAAGTAAAATTAATAATGTAAATAACTAGTTTTTTAATATGTATAAAAGGTAACTCATTCACATCAATTGGTTATATTAATTAACAAAATCAAATTGCGAGAAGCTACAATATTATTGTTTGTAGCGTGTCTTTTTGCAACTAGTATAAATTTGTTAAAAAAATAATCATAACGATTCATATGTGTGCGTTTAGCAAAACATTAAGTAATTTTACTTATGCAAAATATTATAATATAATTTGTTTTAACACATAAAACACATCCATATTGTTTTAGTACAGTCAACTCTTTCTATAAGAACTGAAGGTTCTGGAAGAAAAATGACGTTCGTTGTACATAGAAAATATAGAAAATTACTATACTTTCTTAAGAACCCTAACTCAAACTGGAATATGGTGATATAGAAAGTAAAAGCATACCGTAAATAATTGAAAAAGACAAAATATGCTATTGAGTTTTTTGTTTATTTGCTTTCTGATGCCTTAATAAAATGATTAGTCGCATGATCTCACGCAAGCGTATTTTTTTTTATCATCAAAACGTTAACTATTAGTAAGCATAATGGGTATAAAGTGTGTCGCTCTGAATCATTCCTTTTTTAAAAGTAAAAGACATACACTTTATAGTAATTAGTTGGTTATAAGGCTAACTTAGTTGGACTCACTGTGTTAAGCTTACTCAAAAATCCATATTTATGTTTCATGTTGCTTTTAAGTCAACCAATCCAAGTAACATGAATCGTTTGTGAAATAAAAATTACAAAGAATAGCTTATCTTGTTTTTAAGAATTCCACCATATTCAACCTGAAGAATCTTATGAATGAACTAAGGTAGTGAGCTCAAACTCAGAATTCTAGTTTTTTCCAGAGTCAATTAAATAATTCTTTTTCTGACTTTAATGCTATCTTTATTAATTTAACACTGGTTGAAACTGTTTATTATCGATAAGAATATTTTATGCGCAAAAGTTGCTCACTTGTTTCTTTTATGCAATATGATTATTTTTGCCGTATATGAAAAATTGCTAACCAATTTTCGTGCGTCGTGTTGCTGTTTTGCAGGGACCAACAATGACCTCGCAAAACCCAAAGAGAAATTTTTACTCACTTCATTTTTATGTGAATGATAGATGCTAGATGCGATTGCAATTACAATTGCTAATAGCATGATGCTAGGGGCTAGAAGTTAGTACGGGTAAACTTATCAAAATGATTGAATCAAAGCATCATTTTTCTATTTTTATGACTGCATCTATCTATATTTATATGTCGGTTTACTACATATTTTTTTTTATTTTTTTTTTGTCAGAATTTTTGCTGGTTTGATGAATTGATAATCAATGATCGTCAAAGACCAAGCAAAGAGCATAACATAAGCGTTCGTTAATTGATATTTGATATTCAATATTTTTAACTAAAATATGAGAAATAAAATTGCGAGTTAGTACTAAAAACTAGCTGAATTAAATTTTATTGTAATAATTACCTGGAATAATTAACTGGATCAATTATCTGTTAATTATCTTTAATTTTTATGGCACTGGATTGTATTATTTTTTGTTATTTTAAATTAATTATTTACAGAAAAAAAAGCATTCATTCATCAGATGGAAAGAGTTATAATGATGGGCAGGTTTATAATACATGGGTTGATGATTTTAATGTGACTGATTTATGGTTTAATAGTGGGGTAACTCATAATTTTAATGGTGAATGAGTTTTCAATCTTGGTAATAAGTATATTATTAATTTTAATAATAAATAGAGATAGTGATTTAAACAATGGGTGGTTTCATGATTTTAACAGTGATAAGGTTAGTGATTTCAATACTGAGAGGTTTATAATTTCAGCAGTAGATTGTCTATAATTTTAGAAATAAATAAGTTCATGATTTCAACCAGTGATGTAAATTGGATTCGCGCAGTAGGCGCAGCTTACATAGATTTAAATTTGCGATATATCAGCGCTCTCCGTATATATAAAGCGCGTATAAATTTCTTTTTTTGCATATTTTTTTTTGCGTTTGCGCTAATAAAATTTTTTGAATTTATAACACTGATTTCAACAATAGATAAGTTCATGATTCAGCAATGGAAGTATTTATAGTTCCAATAGCAAGGAAATTAGTAGTCTCAATAGTGGGCAGTATTGGTATTTGGACTATGTCCAATAAAAATTTTATTTAGATATGGACAAATATAGACTTGAACTATTCAATTTGTTATCTATATCCATATTTCCTATTTAGTGGTGTGAGTGCAATGCAGTAATTGGTTATAATTATAATGAATTATAGTATTTTTTGTCTATTTTATTATAATTATGATTAATTATGACATTGTGCTTACACCTCTACTCTGGTTACAGCTTCATCTTATCTACTAACCAAATCTTTCATAACTGGTTAGAAATTTGCTTAAATTTTAGTCCCGATCATGTTTGTATTTTATGTTCTATGACTTTCCACTCAGAAATTTTCAAATCAGTGATCATAAGAAATATTATTAAATCATAGTCTTGTGTTCGATTTGAACTAAATGTATATGTCCAATAACAAATATGATCAATATGGTATCTATTGGTCTATATTGTCCATGTCCATATTTGGCCAACACTGATAGTCTGTAAATGGGTTCATGATTTCAACAATAGACAGGTTAGTGTTTTAATAGTGGATATTATACTTAGTAATTTTGATATTAAGTAATTTTAATAGTAAATAGTTAAAAGTTTTAACTGCAGGTTTCAACAAGGAGTGAGTTTGTAATTCAATGAATCTATATAGATTTTTAATCCATTTATTAATTAAATTAATAATTAAATACAAAACAGTATTTCAAGCAAGCATTCAAGCTTACTGTTGCATATTTTCTCAACTTTTTTTAATTAACTTTTATACAGTACTTATTTGAGTGCTCAAGAGTAAAAACCTGTTGACTCACAAAAATATTGTACGACTTTGATCAATCAAATTTCTTGTTAATGCTGATCTTAAAGTTTGATAATCAAAGTTGTACAATATTTTCGGAATCAAGTGTTTACTTACAGGCCTTTACTCTCGAACACTTATTTAAATGTATTTATCTTATTTAAATTCAGCCAGTGAGTATGAGAGCTATTAATCAATAAATTTACTTAAAATATGCTATAAAGAACTTATCAATATATATTCTTAGTATGAGATGGGTGGCGCGACACCCATCGTTCTAGTTATACATAACAATCAAGAATCTTAAATATTCTAATCCTGCCGCAGCATAATTATAAAAAAGATCATAATAGAACATTAATAGTAAAAATATAACCAAAAAAAGGGTACTTACAGAATTAAAAAAAAAATACTTATTCTAACCCCGGTATAGTCACAGTAAAACTCATATACTAGAACTTAGCAAAACCTTCCGGATAAAATTTCAACCTCTCCGATTACACCGTATAATTATTCATAAATACACTTATAATAAATTATTCAATTTATAATACTAATTTCACACATTTATTAAATTTATTTCCCTTATATAAGTATAGCAAGCAAATATAAAAATTAATATCGTTAATAATTCAACAAAATTCAAGATCATTAATTCCAACTTCACTTGACATTATACTAAGTTGGCGGTGAGTCGCCATATGTGCTATGCTAGTTTATAAAGCATAAAATCTAGATGTAAATATCTTTTCTTAAAACATGCTTTAATAAAATTCAAACTTATTAAAGAAATTTGCCAACATTTTTATGGTAAATACGCTTTTTTTTTTAAAAAAAAAAAGCTAAATTAGATTGATTACATTATAAACATTTCTGTTACTAATTTAAAATAATTAATGATTTATAAAGTGCAAAATGTGTTTTTTCCTTTTAAGAAAATACCTGTAGGATTAATTATAAAGACATAATAATGTTCAATAAGAAAATTGAAATGCAACAAATTAATAATTTCATTTCTGGAATAATATTAACAGAACTTGATTTTTTAGGGTTATTTGGATCTGGAGAATTTGGTTTTTGAAATGAGTCTTGATCTCTGATCGTATATCTATTGTATTTTTAAAAAAAATAAGGATATATAATTAGGAAATTGGGATTCAACAAAAAAAAAAACAAATTTATAAAAAAATTTTAAGAAATAAATACCCTAAAAGATGTAACAATAATCTTAATTTCGGGCCAATTGGACCATATGAATAATTTCCACCATTTAATATACTTTGTTTAAGTGATAATCCTTTTTCTGCCAAGAATTTCATTAAGAAATCACTAGTATTACTATATTTTGTATAACTAACATGGCTAACACTTGAACCTTGTGTATAAGGTTTTAACGAAGTTTCAAGAAAAATAGGATCATTAAAATTGGTATTGTCAGGTAAAATTCCTAGTGAATTTGGTGTGGAAGCATTTGTATATAATTCTTCTGCATATAGACTTTGAGGTGATAAAGCGAATGTCTGTGCAAAAATTTCCGGAGTAGGAAATTGTGTATTACCGAAAACGTCCATTTTCGCGGTGATATCAGATATTTTTGGACCCCTGGGAAGCCCATACATGTACTTATCGAATATGGATTCAACAAAACGATAAGTATTATTTGACTCAGCTATGATATAGGGTGTTAATATTGGTAAGGGGGCGTTGAAGGCGGAAGAATAAGATCCGTAATTAATCATTAAACGATCATTAAAGCTGGAACTAAACCCTAAACCATGTATTAATTCGTGTAATATAACATATAAAAAATCCAACTGATCTGGTTTTATGTCAACACCATCTTCTTCAAACCAATATGACATGTTAAAACTATTGAAAACAGCGAGAATGTCATCAGCAGCAAATAATTCAGTAGGATTTGGAAGATTTGGAAAATTGCGCTGTTTTACGAGTGCTTGTGGGTAGAATCTAGAAATACCACCACCCTCATCAATTCTAATGCTCCTCGCTGGCGTAGCAGCACCTAAGAAGGTATAATTTATAATAAGAATATTGGACTACAGTAATGAAATAGCAAACAAATTACTTTCGTTCACAAGTTAGTTGATATATTACACTCACCGACTACTATGCCCTCTATTCCTGAACCTCCAAATGAGCACAAGCCATATGAAGCACAAATATCAGTGAATGTGGCATTAATTCTAATAGGTTGTGAGAAGATAATTGCGTCAGAAAGTATTTGTCCAGCAGAAATAAAAGCTCTTCGTACTTTATCGCAAAGTGCTTGATCCGTAGTGTTACATGCAAAACTAAGTTCGAACATATTTGAAGTATTCGTACTAAGAAATTTTGAATTTGAGTAAGTTGTATTTGTTGTTGCGGTACGGCATGGTACTGCAGTCATCTCATGAGGGTTGAAAGGATTTGATCGATCATAACAAATCGAATCAGCATTTACAAGGCAAATGTAATAATTAATATTAAGAATAACTTAAGTCTCATGTTCGGTTTTCCAGATTTTTTTAGCAAGTTAACTATTAGAGTTAATTTTAATAATAAACAGTTTATGGCATTTATAAAGTGTTTATGCATTTACGGAAGAACGTTGCATTCATTGTGTAAGTATTTAGGTAGGACTTAACTATTTGTTAGACCAACACTTCAGCGCTTTGTAAGAAAATTCAGAGTGTATTGGTGTACATAATGATCACGAACTAATAATATTAGTGTGAACAATGTGGTAAAATAAGTGAGATGGAAGATCTTTTATGAATGTAAATCGAATTATAATATATCTATAATGAGTATATTTTAGATCTCGTTATGGACATTCTCGAAATGGTCACAAAACTTGATATAGTTATATAGTTACATTGCGGCCAGTGTTAGGATCTGGATAATCGGAAATCCCTTTAGCTGGTCCGAGTAATCCATATCAACGTTAGCTAGCTGTTTTTAATCAAGTAATGTGAATATCGATAATTGTTTATTATATGATACTTAAAAAAAACCTAAATAATAAAATATATACGTACGTACATACCTATATACATGTTTTGGATTCTATGCAAGACTGATTCGTGATACGTAATAAAATTTCAACATGCCTATTGGCTGTTTCCTTTTTAGGAGTTTGCGTTAAATTAATTCATTTTTTTATTACCTATTCGGATCCAACACAAGTTACACAATTGTTTCAGTTATTATGGTTATAATTATGTCCTTTAATTAATCACATAATCACCAGACTATAGTTTTTAAGCGAAATCTAGGAAATTCGCCTTGGTGAAATTGGGGAAAGATGTCGAAACTGACGAACTTTAAAAATGGGGAGAAATAGTAAAAGATAGTAAAACTATAATAATAATAATAATAACTTTAGTTAATTTTTCGTTTTGCATTACATGGAACTTGAAAGTTGAATCGGTTAGCTTTTTTTCTGTAGGTCTTATCGGACAATCCCGGCTTCATCGGGTGACACCGAATAAAAATGTCGAAAAAAGGTCGGTCGGATTATGCAAAGCGAAAAAATCAACTTTGCGTGGCCCTTAGCAGTTTCACAATAAATATTTACATAAAAAAGCCATGCATTAAATTCATTTTTCATAAATAAATAATATTAATACATAGATGTACACTACTAAAAAGAAACAAGATTTCAAACTTTAAATTTTCATGGCTGAGCCAATTTCGAATTTCGCTAGGGATTTCATCACCTTTCGTCAAGTTTAGATTTCGTCTTTCGTCATTTATGTCATTTATGTAAAATAAATTTTCCTAACAATTATGCATCAGATTCAACTTGGCGATAATATCGAAGTTTAACTGTATGTCCATACGATGAATATACATATGTGCGTACGTACATACGTACAGTACATCCGTACAACTTGGCCGTTGATCTCCAAAATCCAATGGGTTACATAATCGTACACATTGATGGCAATTTGACAATTTTAACAAGACAAATATCATAGAAGTTTATTTTTTTAATAATATATTCATTATAACATTTGATTTGTCATACCATAACTGATTGTACGTACGTACGCACATTTTGAAGAACCTAGCTTGCATTTATGACAATATGTAATCGAAAACCTGTGATTATTTCAAGTCTGACAATAAGATTTAAAAGTTTTTCCAAATTTAAAAAGTTTGATATACCGCAATTTGAATGCAATTTAGCAACTTTCACATGATATCAAATTATACGAGTGTTGCGGAGTGAAAACTTTAATTGTACTTAATGTTTAATTATAATTAGTCACAAACTTCACTCTGTATCACTCATTTGTTGAACAATATATCAAATTATTAATCAAATGATATTCGAAATGTGAATTAGGAATTCGTTTGCTAAATAAAATCATTTGGTGCCAAACATTTGATCAATAAAATCAAAATATGAAGCTTTATCTGACACACAAATTATATTACAGTCAGACCTCTATAAATGTATTATGAAGTGACCATACATAAAATTTAGTCAAACGTGTATTTAGAGATATTGCATTTAAGGAGATAAAAATCTATATGTATATATTTGTTGGGCACAAGTGAAGACGCCAATTTAGGGAACTTTTCGTAAGACGTGCATTTAGAGAGGTCTGACTGTATATGAAATTAAATATTTTGCACTGGTTATGTGCCACTAATCGTTTGCATCCACAAATTATCAGGGTTTCAGAATTAACGTGCGGGAATCTAATTTAGACAGAAATAAGTAAGGTATTCATTTTCAAATGAGTGATGTACCGTATAAACTTTATTCTATTTTCCTATAAATTTGAAATGATAATTTTTGTAGTTAAAAAATCTGCTTATTCGTTAAATAGGAGTCTTTAAACACTCCCATTTCATTCTCGATTTCAAAATTTTGATACTTAAATAAATTTTTTAACCTCCCACTTAATTTTTTTTAATTCTGAAACTCCTATTATGAATTATAAATGAGAATTTGTTCTTCGGAGTGTCTGGAGATCCCATTTAATGAAATAAATAGACTTTTCAACGACAAAAATCGTCATTTCAAATTTATCGGAAAATAAAATAATGAGGGGTTTCAGAATTAAAAAAAAATAGCGTATTTCGAAAATAAGTAGGAGCTTAAAAAATCTTATTTGTATATCAAAACTTTGAAATCGGAAAATGAAATGGGAGTGTTTAGAGACTCCCATTTAACGAAATAAATAAACTTTTCAACGACAAAAATCATTATTACAAATTTGTCGGAAAATGAAATAAAATCGATTCATCGCTCATTTGAAAATAAAAACGTTATCTATTTCTATCAAAATTAGTTTTCTGCACGTTAATTCTGAAACCCCTCAATACATCGCCATTTGAAAATAAATCTGTAACCAATTTCAATTAAAATTAGATTTCCGCATTTTAACTTAAACCCCCTATTATTTAAGTATTAATTGATGAGAATTAATTCTGTGAATAATTGTATTAAGAATTCTATTTTCATATGGGTTAAAGTCGCCCAATAAGCTATAGCGTCAGTTACATAATTAAAATAAATACCGTACAGCGCTGACCACGGTACCCCGGGTTGTTTTAATAATAATTTTAAAAATTTAATTTTTAAAAAATTATCTTAATAAAATTAATAAAATTTTTTTATAAATAGATTATAAATATTATATTTATTGTCACAGCTAAAGCTGAAGCTAGAAATTTTAAATATTTTAATATGAAATTTTACAATTTTTGGGGTGCATTTTTTAGCTTTTTTCATAGTTATCTTAGAATTTAGGGTTAGTTCAGCTGTTTTCAGCCTAAGCCATAATATTATTAATATAATTTTTAAAATTATTGATTTAAAAATGGTTAAGATAATACCTTATAACAAGACTTTTGATTCAGCCCACATATTAAATTCAAATTATAGTGAAATTTTTTAAGATTTAAATGAGATATCTTGACAACCAACCAAATTCGATGAAATTGTTTTAATTGTGGTTCTACAAGTATTTTGAATTTAAATAAAATAAATTTCATTGAATTGGCTGTTGAGATAAGTTCATCAATTAATTAATTTTATTCGTGTAGCCTAAAACTTTTTGGTGTGTAGTTTTTTACGTATTTTTTATGATTGGATAATTACATAGCTAATCATGCGATGGTAACAATTTAGTTGGCAATCCTGTACCTCGTTGAGCTGGAGAACTTGTAAAACTGTCGTAGATAAGGCCACGCAAAATTAATTAATTTATTTTCATAGCCGGCCGGGTCAAAATTTAAAAACTT